CTGGGCTCCACCAGCCAGGGCGGCTACCTCAAGATCTTCATGGAGGAAGTGCCTGGAGGTACGTGCCCTGTGTGGGCTGGCAGTGGAACTGGAAGTGTGGGGCAGGGGGATGGGGCCATGCAGGGGTGGGGAACCCTCGGGGAAAATGGGTCCTAGCGTGTGTGGGTGGGGTAGCCCAGAATTAGCTGACACAGTGCACTGGGTGGTGATGGAGTCTGGGTCATGGCATGAGTGTGCCTGGGCCTTGAGCAGAGAGCTGAAGGCTGGAGTAAGGGGGTGCCAGTGATGATCTTGGATTGCGTCTGCCCAGGCAGCCTGTCCTCCTTGCTGCGGTCAGTGTGGGGACCCCTGCAGGACAATGAGAGCACCATCAGTTTCTACACCCGCCAGATCCTGCAGGGACTCAGCTATCTGCATGACAACCGCATAGTGCATCGAGACATCAAGGTAAGGCCTGCAGCTGGTGGAGGGGGGAGAGAAGGACATATGGGTCTAGACAGAGACTGGCAATTTACATTAAGAAGGCCGACCCCTTTGCAAAGGGTGGGGAATTCATCAAGGAGGCTCCCTAGGGAGGGAGAGAACTTCAGACCTGAAGCCGAATCAGGTGCCAGCTCCCAGCTCCCAGCACCCATCATAAGTGGGATGGCAGAGGGAGGACGCTGATAGAGGCAGGGTCAGGCTGCGATTGTAGAAGATGGGATCCAGGGATAGGGTCCAGTTCTGCCATCAGGAGGCCAGCCTGATGTCCACTGAGCACAAGGTCCACTCTACTCAGGGGGACAATGTGCTGATCAACACCTTCAGTGGGCTGCTCAAGATTTCTGACTTTGGCACCTCCAAGAGGCTGGCAGGCATCACACCTTGCACTGAGACCTTCACAGGTAATGGGGTGTGGGGTGGGGAGTGGAGATGCTGACCTGGGACAGAAGAATTCTTAGGACTTCCAGGGAATGGTGTTTCTTCTGGCCATGGAGTTAGAGCCCTAATGGGGCACGGAACCAAGGGCGGGTGATTGAGCCAGGGGTGAGGTGATAGAATCTAGAACTGGAGCTTGAGTAGCTGATGATGGTGAATTTAGTGCCTGAAATGCAGCCTGGAAGTGTCGATGCAGGCAAAAGTGTGTGATTGGGTTCAGAGGGGATGATGCTGTCCAGGATCCACTACTGTGGGTGAGGAAGTCGGAATGTGATGGAGCCCAAGATGAGTGAGGAAACTCAGGATAGATGTTTGACCACCAGGATAGGTGATGGGAATTGTTTGGATGACAGAGTTCAGGGTGGGCGCGGTGGCTAGAGGGTGAGAGCCCCTGCCAGCCCCGCATCATCTCAAGCCTAGGTGAGCATTGTGGCTACCTCTCTTGCCCCAGGGACCCTACAGTACATGGCGCCAGAAATCATTGACCAGGGCCCACGAGGGTACGGGAAGGCAGCTGACATCTGGTCACTGGGCTGCACTGTTATCGAGATGGCCACAGGTCGGCCACCCTTCCATGAGCTAGGGAGCCCGCAGGCTGCCATGTTTCAGGTGAGACCCCTCACGGCCTGGCTCATGAGGTGGGGTGGGGACAGACCGAGCCCTGGACACCTCGAAACTTGACCTTTGTCTGTCCTCCCTGACCCCTCCCAGGTGGGCATGTACAAGGTGCATCCACCAGTGCCCACTTCTCTGTCAGCGGAGGCCCAAGCCTTCCTTCTCCGAACTTTTGAGCCAGACCCCCGCCTCCGAGCCAGTGCTCCAGCACTGCTGGGGGACCCCTTCCTGCAGCCCGGGAAGAGAAGCTGCAGCCCCGGCTCCCCCCGACATGCACTGCGGCCCTCAGGTAACATGCAGGTGGAGGGAGTGGGTGCACTGGGGTGAGGGAGGGGGCTGAATAGGGGGGCCCGGGCTGACGGCCTCGTCCCTCCCTCAGATGCCCCTTCAGCCAGCCCCACTCCTTCAGCTGACCTGACCACCCAGCCCCAGACATTCCCACGCCCTCAGGCACCCTTTCAGCACCCACCCAGTCCCCCGAAGCGCTGCCTCAGTTATGGAGACACCAGCCAGCTCCGGTGAGAGCCCAGGGTCTTGGAGTGGCTTTGCCTCATCTGGGGTCGCCCCTGTACTTCCTCCGGAAAAAGTCCCCTTTGGGGGCCTGGGCACCTCCAGCCACTTGCGAGGATGGCATTGGGTGCCTCCTCCCAGATGCTCTGACTTGTAAGTACTGTGCCGCCTCAGCGCCAGGCTTCTCTGCCTTGTCCCTTGTGAGGTAGGCGACAAAGTAGGAGCCAGGATTCAAAGCCTGGGGTGGAGGCGGCGGGCCCGTGTTGCCACCCGCGTCCAGCCGCAGCCCCCCATTGCACTAGGGTGCCCGAGGAAGCCGGGGCCGAGGAGCCCACGTGCCCTGATGAGAGCTGCGGGCTGAGCCTGCTGCACCAGGAGAGCAAGCGCCGGGCCATGCTGGCCGCCGTGCTGGAGGAGGAGCTGCCCGCTCTGGCCGGCAGCCTGTGCCGGCAGCAGGAGCAGGTGGGTGCCGGCCGCGCCTCGCCAGGAAGCCGGCTGATGGCCTCCCGCACGCCTCCACCCACCGCTCCCCCCGCCCCCGCCCGCAGCTCTCTTGACTCAGGTGGGAGCCCACCCACTGACAACCCCTCTTCCTCCGCAGGGGCCCCGGCTGAGCAGGAATCATGTGGAACAGCTACTGCGCTGCCTCGGGGCGCACATCCACACTCCCAACCGCCGGCAGCTGGCCCAGGAGCTGCGGGCGCTGCAGGGGCAGCTGCGGGCCCAAGGCCTCGGGCCTGCGCTTCTGCACGGACCGCTCTTCGCTTTCCCGGACGCGGTGAGGGAGCTTTCTTGCGGTTCAGGCTGCCCAATAAGACGTAGTGAGCTCCCTGTGCCTGGCACTGTACAAGGACTTGATGTTGCAAGTTTGCATGTCTCCCCCAGGAAGATACAGCCATCAGCAAAGGGACATCAGCCCAATCCTAGTTTCCCAGCTCCTCCCTCTGCCCCAAACCCGCCTACCCGACTTGCCTCTGGCGCAAGACTTTCTAGGTCTTTCCAACTCTTTCCCCACCTCTGAGGCTCGCCGCGCCCTTTCTCCCTCTCCAGGTGAAGCAGATCCTCCGCCGGCGCCAGATCCGCCCACACTGGATGTTCGTGCTGGACTCGCTGCTCAGCCGAGCGGTGCGGGCAGCCCTGGCTGTGTTGGGCCCAGGTAAAGCGGGGAGTGGAGCTGTCTTGCCTGAGGGCGAGGGTGTGACCCCCCTTGCGGGCGTGACGTGCACACCGGACGCCGCTAGGGGGCGTGGTTGGTGGGGGTTAGCCGCGACAGGGGCGGGAAGGAGCGGCTGGGTACCCAGAGCCTTGCGCCCTCTGCCGGGTGTTTGGGGGGGTGTCCCAAATGGGAGTTCTCTCCCCGCCACAGCTCACCCAATCACTTGGGTTGGCAGAGGTGGAGACGGAGGAGGTCCCACCGAGGTCAGAGGAGTCGAGTAAAGAAGAGGAACCCCAGTCCAAGCAGCAGGAGACCTTGGTCCAGCTCAGCCGGCTCCCGGGGAAACCAGCGCAAGCACCCCCAACCCCAGTGGTGCAGCTGGGCCTCTTGCGAGCAGAGACTGACAGGTAAAGCCCCTGGGACTTGCCCCTGGCCTCTGGGCCAGCTTCACCCTCCCTCCCCACCCGCACTCCGTTCTACTGGCCCAGCCTCTGCGCTCTCCAACAGGCTCCGAGATGTCCTGGCTGAGAAAGAACGGGAGTGCCAGGCCCTGGTGCAGCAAGCTCTACAGCGGGTGAACGGGGAGGCCGGGACCTGCGCCCTGGCCCCCGAGCCCCCAGGTGAGTGGGACCTGGCTGGGGAACATTCACGGCAAGTGCGAGACAGCTTCTGCCCGGAGGTACCCCTGCATTGACCACCTGACTTCTCCTCCACAGCTGCTCTCACGGTGGACCAGGGCCTGGTGCAGTGGCTACAAGGACTGAATGTGGATTCAGGCACCATCCAGATGGTGAGGGGGAGAGTGCTGGCCACCCTTGACCCCCACCCACCAAAGATTGCGTCTCTGCCCATCTTTCAGCTCTTCTCACTCTTTCCCTGATGCAGAGAATCTCAGTACTGGAAGAGCACTTAGTGTACCCGCCCCCCACCCCCGCCACGGTACAGATGAGAAAACAGGCCCCTGAGGGGTGTTACCTGCCCTGTAGCATATTGGTAGCAGAACAGAGCTAGAACCTGGGTCTCTGGACACATCTTCCTCTGATTTTCTTTTCCACTGTTTCTGCATCCGGGTCTTTGTCCACAACCAGCTGCTGAACCACAGCTTCACCCTCCGTACCCTACTGACCTGTGCCACCCGAGATGACCTCATCTACACCCGCATCAGGTATGTCCTGAGCCCTCCAGGGATGACCCATGCATATGGCTCCATGGTGGCCAGATCCTGACCCCCCCAGCTACATCAGGCAGACAGTGGGGTAACAGAGAGTCCAGGGCCTTATTCTGGCTGAGCCACACTGAGCCTGCTCTCCCCAGGGGAGGGATGGTATGCCGCATCTGGAGAGCCGTCTTGGCACAGCGAGCAGGATCCACACCAGTTACCCCTGGCCCGCAGGAGGCTGAATGAGAGCTCAGAGACGGGAGGCAGGACCCAAGGATGGATGAATGGAGAAGACACAAGCAGCTTCTGCTACCCCCACCCCAGGACTCAGGGCCAACTGGAGAAGGCCAGGCGGGTGGGGACAGGGTAGGGCCCAGGCCTAGCCCCAATGGGGGGAATCAACCACAGAGATGCCCCAAGCCTATCAGGTATCACCAGGCAAAGACTATTAAACAGAACACCTTTGTACACTTGGGCCTTGGCAACTTCTGAAGTATGGGGGGCGGGGAGGGGGGCGGTCCTGGGACCAGCTCCCTAAGGTCTTTCTGTCTGAGTCTAAAGTTCCTTCACCTGTTCCCTTCACTTCCCTCAGCCTTTCCTGCCATCACCCTCGCTGCCCAGAAACAGACATCAGCCCGTTGCTGCCCTTAGAATAGACTTTATTGGTTTTAGCCAAGGGCAGGCCCAGAGATGGGGGTTCAGAGAGGAGTTTGGTGGGGCTTGTAGGGCAGCTATGTCCTGGGGACCAGGTTGGTTCTGAGGGGCAGAAGGCCATCCACCCACTCACACGGTCGCTCCAGGAGTGTCTGCCACAGCTGCTTTTCCTCCTGTGTGGAGTCCATCCAGGGCACCTGGAGCCCATAGCTGCTGCCTGGACATGTGCAGACAGGGGTGAAGGGCATGGTCACACTGGACACCCTAGGTCCCAAGGAATACCTGCCGGGTCCCAGATTCTGCAGTGCCACTCCCAGTTCTCAGTGGACACCAAAGCTCAGGAAAGGGCGGAGAAGTGCCCGCCCAAGGCCACACACTGAGCCCCTGTCTCTCAGCATCAGGTCTCCCCAGGGCCCTGCCCCACTCACCGGTGCCCAGGCTGAGGCGTGTGCCCCCCAGCTGGCGGCTGGCCAGGGCCCCATGGTCCCAGAGGGAGAGCTCAGCACAGGCCTGGCGCAGGTCAGCAGGCCCGAAGCCATCATAAACCATGGTGTGGTTGAACACAGGGCTGAGGCTGCGTCGTACCACCCTTGTCCGCTGGCGGCTGGCCCGGCTGTCATCAGGCAGCACTGAACTGTGGGGGAGGTGAGCTGGCAATCAAGTGGCTATCCCCTCACACCCCCAAGAACCAACCAGTCACCAAATCCTACTCATTCTCCCTCACAATGTCCATGCCCTCTGGCTCCCACCTGGGACCTGGCCTCAGACCTTCACTACTCGTGGACCTTTGGGCCAGCCACCTCTCAGGCCTCTTGTTTTTAAAGTTACAACTCTTATTCACAGGACCCCAGAGTAATGTCTCTGAAATACAGTTCTGCTACTTCCCTGTACAATGACCTTCATTGGCTCCCTGTTGCCCCCAGAAGTAGTTGCCAAACTTTAAAGCCTCAGAACCCTTTCTGCAAGATAAAATACTACTCAGAAGTAAAAGCAAAACAATGTCTGTGTGTGGAATCAGGGCTGGGAATTTAAAACCTGATCCCTCTAACTTCATTTCACTCTCTGAGTGTGGGGTAGCACCTGGAGGCACCCTAGAGGTCCCCCAGAGCTTACTTTGAAAACCACTGAACTACAAGTTCAGGGCCAAGCCCCACAGCCTGGCCGTCCAGCTCTTTTCATGGAAGAGCCCCTGTGACCTCCCAGGTCCCAGCCTCAGCTCTCCAAGTCCTATGGCTTGTCACTCTGAAATGCAGCTCCTCAAGGATGTCTTTAACTTTCCTGACTTCAGGTTTTTGCTCAAGTTGTCCCCTTCACCCCTGCACAGTGGTCAAAGATCAGACTTGGGGGGGAGGGGGAATCAAGGGTGGTTGATTAGGAGGGGTTTATCGGAGGTGGGGAGCTCCAGAGAGTGTTGGCGGTGGGGGGGGGGGCAGGGTAGGAAGGGAAGCCGGGAGGTCCCGATGCCCCTCACCACTGTACGTAGGTATCCAGGGTTCCTGAGCGCAGCGGCACGATGTCCTGAGCCTCCTTCACCCAGAAGTGCAGCTCCCCGCTGGGGGGCAGTCCCGCGCCTGCGGAGAGGCTCATCTCAGGCCCCGCCGCCCCACGCCCTCGCGGGACCGGTGGCCCCCTCCTCCCAGGGCCCGTCCAGCGTGGCCTCTCGCGGGGCGGTCACTCACCCTCGGAGCCGGCGGGGACGTACTTGAGGGACAGGGAGAGCAGCCCGCGGCTGGGGAGGTGGTCGGGAGAGAGCGGGACCTGCGAGAGGCGAGAGGCGGCCGGGTCAGGGGCGGGAGCAGGTCCCAGGGAAACGGGCCGTCAAAGGGGTGGGGTCTCCAGACTCCGGTGGGGCGTGGCTAGCTCGGAGGACCAAACCGGCCGCCGGGGCAGTACGGTTGCGAGGCCGAGGGGAGGCTCAGCCGAGGGGAGGCTCGGCCGAAGGCGGAGTCTGAGGGGGCTGGGGGAAAGCGCGGTGGGGTGCGGGCGGGACACCTGCGCCGAGGGGTCTCCCCACTCGGACGGGCTGCCTCACCCGGGGCTGCAGGGGGAGCCACGTGGGCTCAGAGTCCCAGTCCCACGTGGCGAGAGGCACTTCGACTTCGCCCAGAAAGATGTTGCGACCCAGGCTTTCGTGGTGCCACACGGACAGGCTCAGCACGCGGCCCCGGAGCTCGGCCTGCGGGACGGAGTACTGGGGACAGGAGGAGCGCTTTAACGGACCACGGCGGCTGGCCCGGGCTTCAGCGCTGCGGGAGTGTGGACGGGGGCTTATCCTACCGCGCTCCTTGCACGAGGGAATCCGGGGGGGCCCCGAAGGGCCTTCATGGGGGTCTGGACTAGCGCCATGCCCAGCACTACACTGACCCACAGGAGAACGCGTGGACGGAGGGCCTCCCGGCCGTTCCTCCCGCACAACGGAGGATCGGAGCGACGGGCAACGACCATACTCTGACTGCCCCTGCCAGCCGGCCCCCGCAGGAAGGGGCGTCCCGTTCATTAATGGGGGACCGCCCGGTCATCGCAGCCTCACCCTCAGAGTCTCGTTGAAGACCGGGTTCAGATTCCGTTTCCTCACCGCCGTCTTGCGCTTGCTCTGCTTATCCGGGAGGAGGTAGCTTTTGACGTAGCTGGAGCGTGGGAGGCCAGGGGAGGACCCGAGCTTAATGGGGGGGGCCCTCCCAGCTCCTACCTCCCCAAACCCCAGCCCAGAGCACAGTTTCCCGTGCAGGGCTTCCCAGGAGTTTCCTCACTCAATCCCCACGCCTCCCAAGAACGTTGATACTCCCATTTTGAAGACCAGGAAGACAGGCCAAGAAGGGTGCTGGGGTGGGGCGGTGAGAGCGGGGCGGGCACTCACGGGTCGGAGCGGTGGCGTCGCGCGGCCGCCAGGCCCTGGCACTGGATCACGTGCACGCGCAGGTCGGCGGTGCCCGGCTCGTAGCGCAGCGCGAAGTGCACCGAACCGCGCACCTGCACCGCGCCCGCCTCGGCCTCCCCAGACAGGCTCAGCTGGCTGCCGCTCAGCTGCAGGCGGGGGTGGAGGTCAGGGCGGGGGTGCAGGGCTCAGGTCCGGGCCGGGGGAGGGGGGAAGGGGAGGTGCTCAGATCAGGGGGCAAGGGAGGGGTCAGGCCGGGGCTCCGCGCGGGGATAAGGCCGGCGGGGGCGGGGGGGTAAGCATCCCCCACCCATCTCCTCCGTCCCCAGGCCCTAGCCCTCACCCCTCACCGTGGAGGAGTTGAGGCTGGACACCGAGGAGCTGCTGCTGAGCATGCGGTCGAGTGAGGGGCCGGGCCCCGGAGCCTCCTCCCCGTTCTCCAGGATCTCGGGCGCCGTCTGGGTCTGGGTAGGTGGGGGGAAGTGACGGGCCGTCCTCTCCTTCCCAGCCCCTCCCCCGACGGCTCTCGGCCCGGGGTAGGGGCACTCCCCGCCCAGAATCCGCTCCGGGTCTTGGGAGCAGCCGCGGGCCGCTCCCGCCTACCTGGGCTGGGGGTGGCGGCGACACCGCTCCCCGCGACCGCGGCTCCGGCTCCGGGTCCGCCTCCTCTGCAAAGACCTGCGAGTCCCCGGATCCCGGGGCTGGGGTGGGGCAGAAGCTACTGAGCGTGGCCTTCTCCCGCCTGCCCCTAAGCAAATTTGGAGGGACTGGTTTGCCACCCCGGGGACCTGCAGATTCAGGCCCCAGTGCTGAAGTGGGAAGCCCCTGAGACTACACACACGTACACGTACACACACGTACACGTACACACACGCGCGCGCATACTCATGCATCATGGAGAGAGTTAGAAGGTGAAGGAAGGTGAACACAGGTGGTTGGGGTCACTTAGAGACGACTCTGGCCCCCAAAACCTCTCTGGGGTCCCCAACTTACACCCACTCACCTTCCTGGGCCTGGGGCTCTTCCTCATGATCTGAAGCCTTTAGGGGGACATATGGTGAGGGGAAATCAGGTTTCTGAAAGAAGCAAGGGGTAGAGGTCACAGTGGGGACTAATGATGAAGGAGTCAAAGGTCACAGTGGGGTCAGAGGCCAGAGGCTCCAGCTGGCTACCCCAGATGGATTTAGCACAGCCCTGTAGGCGGGGCTGGCAACCAACTAACCAGCTGCAGGACCAGTGAGCCCTGCAGGGCACACCCCCTCCCGCATCAGGGCCTGCCCTGCCTGACTCCCAGGGTCCCACTGGTGGCAGACAGTAGTATCTGAGTCCTGAACCTCACCCAGCTCAGTCCCCCACCACCCCTAAGAGCCAGATTCTGAGATTCCCTTAGAGGCCAGGTCCATATCCCCATTTGACAGAGAAGGGTGACGCGGCCCAGACCTGAGTCTCCTGAGTCTCACATCCCACCTCCGCTTCAGGGGCATTATAGGCTCATTCCTTAGCTCATTCAGTCACTCATGACTCACCTCAGCCTTGCTGAGCATCTCTTGGGGTGCCTTGTCCATGGGGAGCCTAAGAGAAGGGAGAGGTGATTGTCAGGGGATAGGCCCCCAGGGGACTGGTAGACACCCTCCCCTCCCTGCCAGGCCTCCTCACCTGGGCTCCAGCTCCTCTTCAGCTTCTTTCTCGGCAGCTTCAGCCTCCCCATCGCTGCCTGGAGCCTGGTCTCCTGTGGCCAGGTGAGAAGTTCTGTGAACCTTGGTCTCAGGAAGTCTGGCCTTTGGAGATGCTCACTCACCTCCCGGAGCTTGTGGAAGGGTGGTGCCCACCCAAAGACGCACAGTACCAGGGGCCCTCTCTTCCTGTCCATGCACACCCAGTGCCCTGGGCTGTATGAAGCCAGCCTGACCCTGGGGGATCTCCTCTTACCCATGGAGCTCTTCTTTCTGCGGATAGAGGCTCGGACAAGATCAGAGCCAAGGTGGGCATGGTGGTGCCGTTGTGAGCGTGCTTCCTGGAACCAGTCTCCTGTGAGGATCTTCAGCTGCCCAGGGTCTGCTAGCGAGGCCCGAAGCTTGCTGGAGGATGGGGGAGGGCGTGGCTGTCACCCAACCAACATTCCTGCCACCCACTCTGTGCCAGGCCCTGTACCTGGGGCCAGGGACACAACAGCAAATCAGACTCAATCCTGACTCTGGATCAAGGAGCTCAGGTTGATGGGGAAACTGGATCCAGAATAGACAAGTACACTATAATGAGGTGGGTGCCATGATGGATGTGAGAAGGGCCAGCTTTACCTGTGGGAATCTAGGGGGGCTTCCCAGAGGAGGTGACATTTGAATTGCTTCTTGGGGGACAAATTGAAGTTCTCCAGGCAGAGAAGGAGAATGATTATTATTCATTAAGTGACTACTGTGCATAATCCCTCCTCCTAATTCTATGAGCTAGTGCTCCTTAGCCCCATTTTACAGATGAGGAGAGTGGTGCAGGGGAGGTCAGGTGAGTTGCCCAAGGTTACATAGCTAAGAGGTGTCTGTCTGTCCCCAAACACTACTTGTAAGTCCCATGCTCCTCAGCCACTGTGCTCTTCCAGGAAGAAGGAACAGCATAGAAGTGAAGGGTGTGTTCAGGGACTCTGAAGCCCTTGAGTGGCTCCAGTGGACACTGTGGGTATGTGCGTCAGGGGCGGGGGTTACTGGTGGAGGATGAGACCGGGGAGGCTGGCAGGGACTAATCAGGGAGGCTTTGTGGACCGCACTTAGGAGCTTGCCCCTGACACGAGGTGCTAAGGAACCATGGGCATTTTCAGCAGGGGATATTTTTTTTTTTAAGATTTTATTTATTTATTTGACAGAGAGAGAGATAGCGAGAGCAGGAACACAAGCAGAGGGAGTGGGAGAGGGAGAAGCAGGCTTCC